CTTATTTGAAGCTTTCCTGCTAGTATCTCCAATTTGTCTTCACTTGTTGTGTTGAATTTGGAAGGGAACAAGTTCGATGGCCAAATCCCGGAAGAGCTTGGGAGATTGCAAAATCTTTCTGTTCTAAACCTTAGAGGAAACCACTTCCAGGGTCCAATCCCTCCTTCAATTGGAAAAATTTCCACACTCACGCAGCTTGACTTGTCCCACAATAATCTCAGCCAAGAAATCCCTGACTCCTTTGCTTCTTTGTCACGCCTTAGTCTTTTCAATGTTTCATACAACAGTCTCTCCGGTCATATTCCTGACTCTTGGGGTAACAATAATAGTACAACACAAAACAAGAATGTTTCTTTTCATCTTCAGTCCTTGATCCTTGATCACAATTCTCTTGATGGAAGCATTCCTGCTAGCATCTCCAATTTGTCTTCACTTGTTGTGTTGAATTTGGAAGGGAACAAGTTCGATAGCGAAATCCCGGAAGAGCTTGGGAGATTGCGAAATCTTTCTGTTCTAAACCTTAGAGGAAACCACTTCCGGGGTCCAATCCCTGCTTCAATTGGAAACGTTTCCACACTCACGCAGCTTGACTTGTCCCACAATAATCTCAGCCTAGAAATCCCTGACTCCTTTGCTTCTTTGTCACGCCTTAGTCTTTTCAATGTTTCCTACAACAATCTCTCTGGTTCTGTCCCAACTCCTCTGGCACAAAAGTTCAACGCCAGCTCTTTTGTGGGGAATGTTCAGCTTTGTGGGTACGCTGGTTCAACCCCATGCCCTTCTGAAGAAATACCTTCGGCTCCATCGCCCGTGGTATCGAAACCTCATCCTCGTCGCCACAAACTAAGTACCAAGGACATAATTCTCATAGCAGCCGGGGCTCTACTCATAGTTATGCTCATAATTTGTTGCATTCTACTCTTCTTCTTGGTGCGAAGAAAGCCTCCATCAAAAGCCAAGGACGGTCAGGCCGTCCCAAGGGCCGAAAAGGGGGCACCACCGGCTGAAGCGGAAGCAGGCGGCGGAGAGGCTGGAGGAAAGCTGGTACACTTTGATGGGCCAGTGGTGTTCACGGCAGATGATCTTTTGTGTGCAACGGCTGAGATTATGGGGAAGAGCACTTATGGGACTGTGTATAAGGCCACACTGGAAGATGGACATCAAGTTGCGGTCAAGAGGTTGAGGGAGAAGATCACAAAGAGCCAGAAGGAATTTGAGACCGAGGTTAATGTGTTGGGGAAAATCAGACACCCCAATCTCTTGGCTTTGAGGGCTTATTACATGGGTCCTAAAGGAGAGAAGCTCCTTGTTTTTGATCACATGCCAAGAGGAAGTCTTGCAACATTTCTCCATGGTAAACTTGAACCCAAATTCTCCCTTATTTGTTTGATTTGTATTAGTCTTTTGATTGGTTCTAAAACTTTAGCAAAACTGTGCCTTTGGTTTCAAAATTTAGAATCACAATTTTAATACTTTAATAGGATGATAGAACACAACTTTTAACCGTTAGATGTTCGAAGGTATGCTAAATTATTATACTTTCTTTGATTTAGTAACAAACCAATAATACTAATCTAATTATTTTCTTTTACTTGTTCCATTTTCTGCAGCTAGAGGGCCTGAAACGCCCATTAATTGGCCAACAAGAATGAAAATAGTCCAGGGCATGACTCGCGGTCTGTTCTACCTCCATTCCCATGAGAACATCATCCATGGAAATCTCACATCAAGCAACATCTTACTTGACGAGCAAGCGAACGCCAAAGTAGCGGATTTCGGTCTCTCTCACCTAATGACAACTGCAGCAACATCCAATGTTATTGCCACTGCGGGTGCACTAGGATACCGTGCACCGGAGCTCTCAAAGCTGAAGAAGGCGAATACGAAAACCGATGTGTACAGCCTCGGTGTCATCATGTTGGAGCTCTTGACAGGGAAGTCTCCAGGCGAAGCGATGAACGGCATGGATTTGCCTCAGTGGGTTGCCTCCATTGTGAAAGAGGAGTGGACAAATGAGGTGTTTGACTTGGAGTTGATGAGGGATGCACCTAGCATCGGAGACGAGCTGCTCAACACCTTGAAACTGGCTTTGCATTGCGTCGATCCTTCCCCGTCTGCGAGGCCCGAAGTTCAACAGGTCCTGCAGCAACTTGAAGAGATCAGACCACTCGATACTATGACTGTTAGTTCTGGTGATGATGGAACTGGAGTTCCTTCAACTAGCGAGTGAAAAAGCAAAAATTGGTTTCCAGAATTTGGGTAGTAAAATATGAGATTAGTAGAGTAGGAGGAGAGACTAAATGATGATCAATTCTTTCATTCTTCAAAATAGTGATTTTGGTTTGTTTTTAAATATATTTAAGTCGTGTAAATACAAGTCTGTTTTGATCCCGTCTAAGAGTGTTTTTTTTATGTTTTCGCTTTGCAATCTCATTCTTCACAAAGTCCTTAATTGCTTTAGTTTGTTTCTGTTTTCTCATTGATAAGATCATAAGATACAGTTTTGAATTGTAGAAAAATATAATTCTCTTGAGGACTCAAAAACTATCATATCTAATTTTTTCCTCCAATCAAAATGAGAAATAATTTTTCGTTTCATCATTGGCGTTTAATAATATATCAGCTTTTCTCTGTGGGGCTGAGACAGTTGTGTTGGACCACTGAGAAACACGACATTTATGGACTTCTAGAAAATGTTGATCTAGCAAAGCTCAATCAGAATTCAGAAGGAAGGTGCTCCATTTACTACGACTACATAATGATGATGATGATGGAGACTACCTTGTCACATTATTGCTTTACTGCCGTTGTCTTCGTTAACGGCTCAAATTATTTTATTTTATTATTTTATTATTATTATTATATTATTATTATTATTTAAGAAACGCGTAACAATCATTGAAATTAGACTCCGTTCACTTCGCTTATTCGAGTTTAGAATTTGAGTTTTTCTACTGTAAAAAGCTCTCATAATCAATCACATCTAACTTTTTTGCTACAGTAAAAAGCTCTCACATAAAATTACATCTCAACTCAAATTCTAAACTCGAATCAACGAAGTGAACGGGGCCAATTCTTTTGCGCCCTCTAATTTCTCTCACACTCATAGTCTCCCACTTAATGTTAATGCACCGACAAAAGGCATATCATTATAGATAATCTTGATAAATATTTTTAAAAGTGTATGAGTCAAAATTTTTATTTTTATTCTTGATTTATAACATTTTTTGTTAAATAATTACACTAATAAAATGATAAGAGTAAAGGATAAAAGTCCAAACTCATACACTCTAAAAAACAAACTCTCCATTTTTTTTATCATTTTTTTTAAGGACGATAAAGAAACAGGAAAACAAATTAAGCAATATTCTTTTCAAGTAAAACTTGAAAAAGAAACTACAATAGTAGTACCTGGTAGGTCAAATAATTTTGTTATAAATGTTGGCTCCAAGGTTTCATTAAATTAATTAATAATGATTTTGATGATAACAAATAAATTGATTGTTTGGTTACTAAACATTTTTCTTGAGTTTGTTTTATGCTTAAATTGTTCATGTAGATTACTTAACAAAGATTGAACAATGTTAAAAAGTGCTCTCAAATTCAAAGCTTGGAATTGGAAAAATGAAGCTTGAAGATGGATTTTAGAGTGAAGAAATAATGTACAAGACTTGCTCACGTAGGTTTATTTTTACAACTTTAGTCTTTTATTTGATGTTTGAGCACTTGGCAAAAATTATCTCATTAATTTGGCTAAAAGTTTTTCACTAAAAATTATTTTTGAAATTCTTGCGAGTGACAGTTTTACATCTAAATAATTTTTAAAAATTATAAAAAATTGAGGGATGTTTTAAATGTATAAAAGAAGACTTGTGCCCGAAAATTGTGTTAAAATAAAATTTTTAAGCCTTCCTAGAAGTTACATGCAGTGGTTGTGTTGTCACTGTCCGGTACGTCCGGTTAACTGGACTTGCCGAACGGCTAGTTTTAATTAGCCGTTATACACGAGTCTAAACGGCTCTATTTTGTATTTTTTGACATATAAAAGGTCTTTATAGTCCAAAATTGTTGTTGAACATTTCTAAGAGCTCCAAAGGGTATCCAAACATCATTGAACTCAAATTGTACTAATTCTTTTGATTTTTTAAGCTTTCAATACACACTTTGAGCCAAACTTGAGATTATTCTTGCTTTGTGTGAAAAACATCCCCTAGCATCTTACTTGTAATTAAACAAAGTTGAGGGAGATTTTCTTTAAGTGATCTAGCTTTAATATTCCATTATTCCACCAAAGTTTTAGGTTGCCAATCTCTTGAAATTTGGTGTGTAAAGGATAGCCTAAATCTTAAGTTAAAGTTTGGCAATTGTGAGAGGTTGTGGTGAGTATTGGATTGAAGAAGTCATCATCTTTGTATTGGAGTGATCGAGCCGAAAAGATGATCGAATATAGTAGAAGAGGTCAAGCGGTGGTTTGCGTGGCAACGGTGGATGTAAGCATATTGTCAAACCACTATAAATTGCGTTTACACTTTCTTTCTCTTAATCTCTTTAAATTTCTGCAATTTGCTTTTCAATTGGTATTTATCTTGATTAATTTGCATCTTGACATTAGATTTGTTTAGTTTCTTGTATTCTTTGAAGTGCTTGAGATTTCGCTATTGAGTTTATCATTACTATTTGCTCTAATTTTCTAATAACTGTGATTATTTTTGAAAATTTGTTTAAAACACAATTCACCCCCTCTTGGGTAGTAGGATAACAATAAAGACGTGTAATAAGTTCCACTTTTTTTAGCAAAAAAAAGTTCCACTTTTAGATTTTCTTTTTCCTCTTACATACGTAACTGGTTAGAAGGCAAAATAAGGTCCGTGGCTTTTGGCTAGAGACCTACTTGGTCAAAATGCTCAGTGCATAAAAAGGGTGTCAATTTCGTATTCCAACCTGTAGATGAAAAGATGGTTTGAATTACAATATAGTCGTATAGGCTACCCTTTTATTTTCGCTTGAATGATTGATTGCCCGCAAGGCGCAAACTCTTGCTGGTATTAGTAAAACTTGTTAGAGTACACAACAATTTGATGTCAATTTGTAACTTGTATTGGTATACGTACATTTAGAGAGAAGAAAACAATGGAAAAGCTGATAGCAAAGATTGACAGTTAAAAGTTAACAGATTTTCCTTCTCTAGCGTATTCACCGGTCTCCTCCGTGAGTTTTTCCCACACATTTGCCATCTTCTCTGCATATCCTGCCTGTTGTAGAATGCATGGCATAGCATATTGTTTTCAGATTAGAAATTTAAGATACAGGGCGGAAAAATGTCGGGCTTAGCAAAATTTATTCAAGAGAGTATGCAATGAGATGAGAGTTCATACAGATACCTGATTAAGTACAAAAGCTCTCAACATGCACATAAAGTCGTCATGCCTTTCTTTATCAAGCCTTTCAAGCTCGCTTCTGTTGTGTTCCTGCATAAACATAGATACCAGTCACATTTATACCACTTGCATATGATTTCATCATGAAATACAATGTCTTAGATGCTTCATTTAGTAAGCTAGAACTCACATCTCTCATCAAACTACAAAGGCAAAATACAAAAAGAAAAAAAAAAAAAAAAAAAAGGAACTAGGACCAAATATGCTTTGCTAAATCATCTAGCTGGTATTATGTAATTGATTCAATACTGACGGAGTTCGGCAGAATTATTGCATTAGTTAAGTAGACAGAAGACGGAGAGAATCAGATTTTACTGCTGTTTTCCATTTCTGCAAGTCCACATGTAGGGGAAGCCTTCCCCATTTTTTACTTTGTTTATTGCAAGGATGTATAGCTCTTCAATGAGCATAAGTTAAGTGTTGCACTTGGATATCAATGTTTCCTCAATTTACATTCACCATAGCTACATTTGTCAAGAAGGCAAGAAGTTCTAACAGCTTTTTAAGACAAAGCAACGTCAAGCTTTACTTGGACAGTAAGTCTGGATGTGTCGCCACATGTATACCCGATATTAGAAGAGTGAAATGAAAGCCATGATGTACCGGCAAATGAAAAGCAATTTAAAACAATAATTTACACATCATGTAATGCAAATTCACTACTTAGGCACTGACAAAAAACAAAATTATCACGCGGATGCTATTTTTCTTGGCATGAATCTCAAATGCTTCAACAGACTTCCAGTAAGAAAATCTTTACCTTGATCCCTTCGTATTCTCTTACAGCAGAAGATTTTGCATCCTCAGTAAGTCTGACAGTTTCTTTTAACTCCTCTATCTTGCGCATCCTTGATCTGTCCCCACCAAATATTTTGGACGAGGCAGCTTCAAGCTTCTCAATCCTAGACTTCAAGGAAGTTAGCTCGGTTGACAGAGTCTGAACTGTAAGTAAAGCACTTGATCGATCCGAAAATGCAGTGTTGGCAGCTAACATAACTCCTAGATAATCGTGGAGTTTATCCTGCAATAAATGTGAGTTAATATGTAAGGATTCTCCATCAATGATGGATAAACATATGGGGAGAATTGGTAGTAGTTATAAGGACTAGAGAGGTGATATGCAAGGAAGCTTTGGAGACATTAAGGGACCCATCTAGATCAAAACAAAATTGGTAGGTGTATCAATGTAAACAAAAAAAAAAAAAAAAATCCAGTAATTTACCAAATGCTTAACCGTCTGCGAATTTAACTCCCTATATAATCTGCCGGATTTAACAGCAGCAGTCGCCACGTTTTTCATATCAGCGGCTCTTACTCTTTGTGAGTTGAAAACGGCTTCATCCGTCTCAAACTTGGTCAATTTCACAAATGCCAACCCCAATTCCCCCATTGTCTCTCCTATGTCTTGCTGAGCTTTTACCAGAGCCTCAGCCTGCAAAACCAGGCATAAATACAAAACATTCACAAACAAAAACACCACCAATAACCAAACAAACTCCTATCATCCATCCTTTGTACTAGATATTCAGTTGCCAAATTTGTCAATTGTCACCATGAAATGGGCCCATTAAAGGGGAAAAAAACATTCATTCATTCATCAATAAATGCTATTAAATTTGTTCTCATTGAACTACCCCAGACTTATCCCAGTTACACCAAATTTTGGTATTGTCACAATCCAGATGCTATATTATGAACATCTCTATCTTCAAATCCTTTGTTCAAGTAAAACCAAAAACAAGATATGAACAAAGAAGGAAACGAGCACACCTGTTGAGACAAATTGCTAAGCTGTTGCTCAAACTCCAAGAGCCATTCTTTCCTCTCCAAGAACTCCTTATCTTCCTCAACAACCAGAGGCTTGACTCTTCCCCAGTCATTCACCACCGACTGTCTCAACTCCTTGAACATCCTCATCAAGTCCCCGCCGGTTCTCCCCTCCGCCGCCACAACCGAAGGCTGCTTCGGCGACACGTCCACGCTCTTCGGAAGCTGCAAAACCCTCCCTCTGGTAATCAAAAACGCTCTAAGCTCCTCACTCCTCCGAATCACCGGGTGCGCCGCCAATTTGTTCAGGTACTTCTCCACTTGAGCCCTCCGCTGCTCCACGAACTGCTCCGATTGCATCATCTGGCTCTCCACCACGCTCTTATCCGGTCGTACGGGGACGAAAAACCCTCTGTGCGTCTCCGATAACCGCTCCGACAGCGCCACCACGTCCCTGAACCGCCGCCGCACTATGAACTCGGATCCTCCGAAACCTTGAATGTTCGTCCTCATCGTGATCAGGTACGTGTAGAAAGTAGTCCGGCCGGTCGGCTCGCGGCCCGGGGTGGGAGTCGCCCCGCCGCTGACGACGGATGGTTCGTCGAGCGGCAGTGATTCCATTTCGTCTTGGGATTCGTGAAGGCCGGCATCGCCGTCGTCTTGATTCTCATACTTCATCATTTCTTTCAATCGAATACAACAAGAAAAAAATAATATTTAAAAGAAAAAAGAATTATATTTTTGAGATTGAATTACTTTCAGTTTTTTCCAGATTAAGAGCGATAAGGCGGCGAGTGATGAAGCTCCATTGGATTACACGGCAAGCGAGCGAGTTAGCGAGTCAGTTTGGGCGAGTCAACGAGTCCACTCGGAGGGTGCGGTGGGTTTGTAATGATGAAGACTCATAGTGAGAAAAAAGTTTCTAAAATTTGGCGCAAACTGAGGGACCCTTTTGCAAATCTGGCGCCTTACTATTCGTCAGGTTGACGCTGAAGGATGCCACGCATGCTGCCAGGTCATCATAAGGCTCAGATTTTAACGGCGTCTCTCTGGTGGCGCCATTAGATTCGCAGTTTCGTTTTCGCGGTTTTGTCAACAATCGTCATTTATTTCATTCAATTGGAATGTTTGAAGTTGAGGGATTTGAGTAATGTTACGCCACCGGTAGTGCTTACGCTTAGCATAATTACTTGAAAAATAGAGAAATTGTATTTTTTATTCATATTTTGTGATTAGTCTGTACATAGTTATATGTGTAGAAAATACAATCAGTTATTTTAGAATCACATCCTAGAATTAAGCCTAATTATTTTATTCACACTCATCAGTTGTCCTTAAATTAGGAAAAAATTACAAAGGAGATTACAAGGATCGAGAACAAATCTCAACACTCCCCCTCAAGTTAGAGCATAGATGTCACATATGCCCAACTTGCTCAAAAACTTTGAGAACATTCGGCTTGAAACTGCTTTAGTGAGGATATCAGCCAACTGATCTTCTGATCGAATCTTTGGTAACTCCATGATTTTGTCATCCAACTTCTCATTGATAAAGAATCTGTCTACCTCGACATGTTTTGTACGATCATGTTGAACTGGATTATGAGCAATGTCACATGCCGCTTTATTATCACAAAACAGTTGAATTGGTTGCCTAGATAGATAATCCAAATCCTGCAAGAGTAGTCTTAGCCATAATGCCTCATAAAGTCCTAATGTCATACCTCTGAACTCAACTTCTGCACTTGAGCGAGCAACAACATTTTGTTTCTTGCTTCTCCATGTCACAAGATTACCACCTACAAAGGTAAAGTAACCAGAAGTAGATCGCCTATCATCCACGACACCAGCCCAGTCAGCATCAGTATACGCTTCTATGCTTTGATGATCTGAGTTCTTTGTGAACAAAATTCCCTTTCCAAGAGCAGATTTCAAATACCTCAAAATCCGCATAACTGCATTCTTATGTTGCTCTCCGGGATTATGCATAAACTGACTGACAATACTTAATGCATAAGCTAGATCTGGTCTTGTATGGGCTGAGTACATCAATCTCCCAACAAGTCTTTGGTATCTTCCTTTATCAGCCAGTACCTGGTTGGGCTCCACACATAACTTTAGGCCTTCTTCCACTGGTGTATCAATTGGTTGGCATCCTGACATTCCGGTTTCCTGTAAAAGATCTAAGGCATATTTCCTTTGGGATAAAAATATTCCTTTATTGGATCGAGATACTTCAATCCCAAGAAAATATTTCAGAGGACCTAGATATTTCATTTTAAACTCTCTAGACAAGTACTCATGTAGGGCCTTTCTTTCTTCAGAATCATTTCCTGTAACCACCATGTCATCCACATATACAATGAGTGTAATAATCTTACCCTGTTGTTTCTTTAGGAATAAGGTATGATTTGAATTGCTTTGATGGTAGCCAAATGCTTTCATAGACTTCGTAAACCTTCCAAACCATGCCCTCGGGGATTGTTTTAACCCATACAACGATTTCTTTAGTCTGCACACCTTCCGACTATGCTTCTCGTGTCTCATGCATCCAGGTGGGAGATCCATGTAGACTTCTTCAGATAATTCACCATGCAGAAAAGTATTCTTCACATCAAACTGTTGTAATGGCCAATCCAAGTTTGCAGCTAGAGACAACAGAACACGAACAGTGTTGATTTTGGCTACATGTGTGAATGTCTCTGTGTAGTCAATCGCATAGGTTTGAGTGTATCCCTTCGCTTCTAGCCTCACACTTTAAAGCGTTCAATTGTGCCGTCAGCTTTGTACTTCACAGTGTAAATCCACCGACATCCAACTGTTTTCTTTCCTGGTGGAGGATCAACAAGCTCCCAAGTTTCATTCTTTTGTAGGCATTTCATCTCTTCATTCATGGCTGCTTTCCACCTGGGGTCGGTTAAAGCTTCCTGCACACTGTTAGGAATAGATACACTAGACAATTGATTAACAAATGACATATTTGATTCTGACAAACGGTGGTTAGATATGTAATGACTCATGGGATATTTGACTTTACT